GGAGTTCAAGGTTACAGTGGGCTATGATCGTGCCACTGCACTCCAGCCTGGGCGACAGACTGAGACCCTGTCTCTGGGGAAAAAAAAAAATCAGTTTAAAACACCCTTTTCTGCCAGGCACAGTGGCTCATCCCGGCACTCTGGGAGGCTGAGGTGTGAGGATCCCTTGAGTCCAGGAGCTGGAGAACAACCTGGGTAACATAGACCCTTTTCTCTACCAAAAATTACAAAAAAATTAGCCAGGCATAGTGGTGCATGCCTGCTGTCCCAGCTACTTAGGAGGCTGAGGTGGGAGGGATGGCTAGAGCCTGAGCACTCGAGGCTGCAGTGAGCCATCATCACACCACTGCACTTAACCTGGGTGATAGAATGAGATCCTGTCTCAAAAATAAATAAATAGGCCAGGCGCGGTGGCTCACGCCTATAATCCCAGCACTTTGGGAGGCCGAGGCGGGCGGATCACAAGGTCAGGAGATCGAGACCATCCTGGCTAACATGGTGAAACCCCGTCTCTACTAAAAATACAAAAAATTACCCGGGCGTGGTGGCGGGCGCCTGTAGTCCCAGCTACTCGGGAGGCTGAGGCAGGAGAATGGTGTGAATCCGGGAGGTGGAGCTTGCAGTGAGCCGAGATTGCACCACCGCACTCCAGCCTGGGTGACAGAGTGAGACTCTGTCTCAAAAAAATTAAAATAATAAAAATAAATAAATAAATAAACACCCTTTTCATTTATAGTCATGTAAACAGGCTTGAAGTGATGAAATAGCCTGACTACACTGTGTGGCAAATTAACAAAGAAACCCGTCAGAGGAGAATCCAGGAGTGCTAAGCCTCAATCTAGGTTTTCGTTCTCACTAAATCAAGATTCTTCCCTACAGAAGAGCCCTAACCCTGCTACAAATTTAATGCAATTCACAAAATTTTGGTGAACCGATTTCGCATCAGGGAGACCGGCCCAAAGTTGGACTGAAGAAGTCCTGGTGCCTTCAGAATGGGTAGAAGTGGTCGAGGAGGCAGGCTGGGTAGAATCTGCTCTGGCAGGCCTGTAACTGATGACACCTGGTCCTAACAACTAGAGGATAAAGAAATGGAATTTGGGTGGCGCAAAACAAAAGTCATGTCTCTTAGACTGCCCCTTGTTAGAGAAGGAGGCTCCTTTCTTGACAATTCCCCTCTGCAAGTCCCTCTGTAGACAGACATCCTCCAGAAAAGCTGTTCCAGAACAACCTTCTTACAAGGCCTTTTGGTCGTCTGTTAAATTACAACAGGTTGCAGGCTCAAAAACAAGTGCCCACAGTGAAGTGGAGGCAGGTATAAAAATAAACTGAAGGCTTGCTTTAAAGCCGTTTAGGAGTGAATAGAATTTACAAATACAGAAACACATGGGAAGATGTTTGTGTCAAATTCCCACACCAACAGCTTTCCTTTAGTGGAAGTTCTTGGTAGCTGAGTGGGTGCAAGTGTGGGGAAAGGAGGAGGAAGAAATTAGAGGGGGTTAATGTGGTGTCTTGGTGTTTCATTCTGTTTCAATTCAGAGAGAGAGAGTTGTTACAGCTCTAAAAAGAGTTACATTAAGATGGCCACTATGTAAAAATGTTTGGGGATATGGGCTTGAATGTAATATGCAAAAATTGCTGGGCTTGGTGGTGTGCACTCCAGAGGCTGAGGCAGGAAGATAACTTGAGCCCAGGAGTTCAAGGTCAGCCTGGGTAACACAGTGTGACACCATCTCAAAAACAAAAAACAAAGTAATATGCAAAAATAAAAATAACTGTATTGGGGAGGTAAGATTATGGATTTCCTCCCAACCCCTTAATACTGTTCAACTAACAGTATTTTCTTTTTTGTAGAGATGAGGTCTCACTATGTTGCCCAGGCTGCTGTCGAATTCCTGGGCTCAAGTGATCCTCCTGTCTCAGCCTCCCAAAGTGTTCAGATTACAGGCGTGAGCCATCTCATGTAGCCACTATTTTAAAATAAATTGTTTTCAAATTTTGCTTCCTGGCTCTCTAGTTAACTCGGTCTTATAAAATCGCAATTCCCAAAAACTCTTGTTTGCTGTCCATCACGGCAGTTTTTAGGACAATAAAACACGGGAAACCATCTAAATGTTTTAGAGGACAGATTAAGTAGACTGTGGTCCAGACATAACAATGAAAACTACACAGCTATTTAAAAAGGAAGACATAAATCTGAATGGTGGATACGGACAATCACCCACAGTGAGCACGTGAACAAAGGCAGGTGGGGGGCGATGGGTCTCGCCTGAGAACATATACACATGCAAACATGTGCCGATTTGTGGAAATTTTCTGGAAGTATTCCCAAGAAAGTTGGTAATAGTTGCTTCTATCTGGTGAAGACAGTTGAGGGTCTGAGGTGAATAGCAGATTTGCTTTTCATGATATGAACCCCTACACTGCTTGAAAACAGTATGTTTACATGTTACAAATTCTAAATGATATACTGGTATCGCTTTGATAACCGTTAACTTTCTAGGCAACACTCTAAGGGTATTCTTCCTAAGTGGTTTGCAGATAGAGGAAAAGTCCTATTCTTTCCAAAAGTCCTATTCTTGCCCCATACTTAGAAAACAGACAATCTGATTATGCCTACAGTTGTCAAAATGTGGAGGCAATGTGTGAAAAAACTAAATCTGCTCATCTTTCCGAGGGAGATCTACTGAGATATATTGAGATATACAGACTTGAGTGCAGCTGAAGAACTGGGTCAGCCTCCCACCAGGCCCTCCCAAATAAGCAGCAAGGGATGAGCTCTTCACTCTTCCTCCTTGGAGGGGCCAGGGCTGCTCTGCACCTCAAACGACACACATCACTCCAGACCCACAGGGCCACCCCAAAGCCCTGGGTATCACGTTATCTCCAAATATTCTGTACAGGGTTTGCCCCAAGCCATTCCAAGGTCTCTCTGAGCCCAGATCAGTATTCCAGAGCTTTCTGGAACTGAAACAGTGTGCTTGGGTAGAAAGGGTTGACTTAAACAAGCATGCCGCTTGAACACATTCTAGGCTCCATGTATGGGGACTGTTCCTGGGCCCCTCTGCCAGACGACAGAAGCACCCAGGAATGCTCTTGGACATTCTGACCACTTTTCTATAGGACACGTCACCTTAACTTTCAAAACTTCTCTTTGTTTTCACACATTTCAAGTTCCAGTGAGAGGATGTTTCACTGTAAGTTCATGAGAAAGGATGGCAAAATCTTTCCGCCATTTCCTCCTAGGCATCTCAGCCTGAAGGATGTTAAGAGTTCCTCAGACCAAGGAAACACCAAGATGGTGGGCAAAGCATTGCCTCTCATGCAGGACTTCATGCCCAGGATGAGGAGGCATAGCATTTGGTCTGGGTCCCCCGAGACAGAAAATCTACTGCCTCTGAGATACTCTGGAGCTGAATAATGGCAGGTTTGGACACATAAAAGAATAGGAGAGGGAATGGGCCTCAATGGGAAGATGGCAGGAGAGACCACAGAGTGCTGGTCTTCAGTGAAGATGACACACAGCAGACATACAAGGGGCGGGTCACAGGGTACATCGTGGGATGGCGGGACCTAGCCAGCCCATTCCTGTCCCAAACAAGCTGCCCCAAGGAACTTAAGAGGGAAGTATTTTCTTGGTTAGGTTAAAAATCCCTTGTGTTTAACACATTTCCTCATCATTTCTGACACTGAAGGATACTTGTTTGGGATGTTCCATGTCACTGACACACATACTAAGCCAGCTCTGGTCTATTCAGGGTTTGTTTTTGTTTTTGTGTTTTTGAGACAGAGTCTTGCTCTGTCACCCAGGTCAGAGTACAGTGGCATGATCTCGACTCATGGCAACCTCCGCCTCCTGGGTTCAAGTGATTCTCCTGCCTCAGCCTCCTGAGGAGCTGGGACTACAGGCGCCTGCCACCACGCCTAGCTAATTTTTGTATTTTTGGTAGAGATGGGGTTTCACCATATTGGCCAGGCCGGTCTCGAACTCCTGACCTCGTGATCCGCCGGCCTCGCCTCCCAAAGTGCTGGGATTACAGGCGTGAGCCACCGCGCCTGGCCACATTCAGGGCTTTTGCTTAATCGGCAAGGCTGCGTGTGTGTGTGTGTGTGTGTGTGTGTGTGTGTGTGTGTTTGTGTGCCTTTGCCCCTCACTCTCCCTGATCTCTGTTCCATTTCATAGCCTACTAGAACCTCCCTGGTAGCACAGGAAAAGTAAAAAAAGCCCACTTATAATCCATTCTGGTATATGCAGCTTTTATTTCTAAACCAGTGGCTAAAATGGTATCTGTGAATTTGATTAGCTATGCTTGGCTCCATGACCACAAATAAACCAAAACTGGCTAGACTTCTAAAAGTAAATTTCTTTGCCTTCTCTCTGCTTGTCAAGTGACCTCAATAGCTTTGAACCAGTAGGCCTCTTTACTCAACAATCTGGAGGTAACAGGTATGAACTCAAGTTGGGGAGAGTTCCCAGTCTCCTGCCCACTGCGTCTAACTCTGTCCCCCACAACGGATGCCCTGAACTTTCCTTAAGCACGAATCGTTTTACTGCCATTATGGAGCTTTCTCACAGGGTTGGGTTTTTTCTGTTTGTTTTTAAATGTTTCATTATCTCATTAATCTTTTCTCCGTATTTTCCGCAATGCTCTCAAAGTGTGAAACTCCAAACTGGAATGCAGAGTCTGGCACAGGCTCTTCAAAGGCCGGTGTAGGATCCCCTCCCTCCCAGTTTCCACAGGGTCTCCTTTCCTCAGCAGATCCCAGCACTCCAGCTGCCGTCTATGGACAGGCTGTACCTGCCAGCCTGCAGGGCAGCTGCTGACTCATGCTTGCTCTGGGATTTGCTTGGACCCCAGCCCTTCTGCTCTCCAGCCACAACAGCCACCATCCACCTCAGAGAGCACTCTATCCATCACTTTCTGGGGTCTTAGCTCTGACCTGATCAGTCCCCCACAGGTCTGCATTGCTTTACCTGGCCCTGCCCCATCCCTGGCGCCCACCTGGAAGACGTCGTTGGCACACTTGCGGCACAGGTTGTGTTGGCAAGGCAGGATCACCACTGGTTTGGAGAACATCTCCAGGCAGATGGGGCAGATGAGCTGCTTCTCCAGGTTGTCCATGCTGTGTGCATCCCCTAGCAGCGGCTTGAAACCCACGGTGAAGTTCATCCCCTCGGTGGTTGTGCCTACCCTGGCTTGGGTCCTGCTCCTGGCCTTCACTCACTGTCTGTAGACCCTTCCTCACTCAGACGGCCTGTGGATTCCCTTCTGTGGCTCACTCTTGAAATAGCTCTGCTATCTCTCCTGTCCCTTTAACAACTTGTCTCGTCCCAGATAGCAGTCTTCAGACACTTCTCTGTCTCTACTTTCTGCTCTGCACCCTCGGCAGGCTCACGTAGTTTTAGCTATCCCTCTCTCTCTGTAAAGTCCTCCTTTTGTTTCCCAAATGACTCTCTCTTGTTCACTCTGTGGGTAGCACTGTTTGTCCCTTACTCCCCAGAGAGGAGATTAATTTTACTGTGGGGGTGGGGAGACAAGGGGCATCTGCATGACATTCCAATTCCCAATTTAGCTCATGTAAGACGAGCCACAGCTGTCACGGAGTGAGTGACCCTGACTCACTCAGGAATGGGTGACTCCCCTGAGCAAGGGCAGGGGCAAGCACCACTGCTTACGGTGAAAGGTGGGTCAGCAAAGGTGCTGCCCTCTCACTCTGAAGGCTCCTCTGAGCCCAGGACTCCTGCTCTGGCTTGGGCCCTTCTTCCAGGACAGTGACACAGAATCTAAATCTGCCTGTGTGAGAGGCACCCATACATAGCTCAGGGTGGGAGGAAAGATCTTGCCAGACTTAGAGTCAGTAGCAGTTGCCTCCTCCACAGGCTCAGCCAGTGACCCTGGTCCTCCTCCTCAAGACTGTGTGATTCAGAACAGCAGCTCCAGAGACTCCATCAAGCCTCTTGTCCAATATCTCTGGCTCATTTTTGTTCTTGCCTGCCTTTTCTTATATCACCCTAGGAAATGAAGCTCAAGAGGCTAGAAATGAGTATTGTGCCAAGGCCTGGACCTACCTATGAGCATGCGCCCGAGGAAATGTGGGATTCTGGTTTGTGAACACATCCCTGGAGCCACTCCAAGGACTTCAAATTTGTTAGGAAATTGGGAGAAGGTGAGCTGGGCAGACAGGACATGAATGCCGGGGACCTATTTTGGGCACCCAGGGAATCAACCTCCAGGGAAATTTTAGAGCCCTGACAAAGTCATAATCATAAGACTCCAGGAAGCCTCTGCCCCAGCTCCACAGTTGTCCAGGACTCCTCCTCTCCAAGCCAGGCTCGCCCCAGTTGTGAGCACTGGTCTTCTTTTTCTCCTACAGGTCTTTTTCTCCACTTGATATTAGCCAAAAAGCCAAGAAGCAATTTCTTTAGGCCTTTTTCCTCCACCCCAGACACAATTTGTCTTTTCTGGGTCCAAAATATGCCTTGGGATTGGACAAAAGCTCTTTTATTTACCGCCATTCTTTAGCCCTTCTCCCAGTCCAGGAAGAGAAGTCTGAGGAGTTAGTAGGTAGTGACCCTGAGTGGGTAGGAAATACACGGTGTGAGGAGGATCCGAAACAGCAGCACAAAGAGGCAAGAGTGGGGAAAGAGCCCAGAAAGTGCAATCTTCTCCGGATCACATATTTCATGCCCCTATTTTTGATAATAAATTATATGTCAATTGGCCTGCATAAGATGTGAAAAGGATGGAGGCAAGCTGGCACTGATGTCTGAACTTCAGTTAACCCACAGGTCCAAGGCTAATGCATGCTGTTCTGGTAGCTGATGTCCAAGGAGAATCTAAAGATGGAATGACTACCCCTAAGCCTCAAATGCACTCGCAGTTTTCCTGAGTTGACTCATAGTGGCATGGAATGAGGCTGGCAATGCCAATGGCCGTGGGCACCAGAAGGTGAGACCAGCTCCATAAAGGCGTTATTGGCTTAGGAATGAGGCTGATGCTAGGGGTTCTTGGTACACGGAGTTGCAACAAGAGAGAGTTAACTGGTGCCGCGGCTCCAGGGACAGGATCCGCCCTGCTCAGTTATCAGGCTCTTGGTGGTGATATTACAAGGGGCTCACGGACCCTACCAGCTGGCACTGGTTCCAATAACAAGGCAGGCACAGGAAAAAGTCTCTTCAGGAAAAATCTGCCACCACTGCCTGAGACCTCATAAGGGAAGGCATGGGAGGGCAGCTTTCTGATGGAGTAAAATTGGGACTGCAACTAAAAAGGAAGAGTAGCTGGGCAAAATCTATACACAGTTGTGGTGCCAAGGGCAGAGGTGATGTCCTTACTGGGACCAACGTCATCAATGCTTCTGAAGAGATTCTTGAGATTCTTAAAAGAAGAGGGGTCAAATCAGGGTCAATGTCAGGACAGGGCTACGTGCTCCTCTCTTCAATGTGTCCAGGGGACTGGGCAGCAGAAGGCACTCTCACTGGGTCAGCACCTAGTGGCGGAAGAAGGTGGCTCTTTATTAATCAGAAGGAATAACTACCTAGAACTTAAAGCAAATCCCCACATGTAAGGATATAAACACATAGTCCATACTGTAAAGATGTAAACTTTCTGCTAATGACTCATCTGAAGTTAGCTTACATGCTTTTCTTATCTGATAACTATTGCTGCCTTTCGGTTTACATACGTCATCCTTCTTTATCTCTTAAAAATCATCTTCGCGTCCGGGTGCGGTGGCTCAACCCTGTAATCCCAGCACTTTGGGAGGCCGAGACGGGCGGATCACAAGGTCAGGAGATCGAGACCATCCTGGCTAACACGGTGAAACCCCGTCTCTACTAAAAAATACAAAAAACTAGCCGGGCGAGGTGGCGGGCGCCTGTAGTCCCAGCTACTCGGGAGGCTGAGGCCGAGGCCGGAGAATGGCGTGAACCCAGGAGGCGGAGCTTGCAGTGAGCTGAGATCGGGCCACTGCACTCCAGCCTGGGTGACAGAGCGAGACTCCGTCTCAAAAAAAAAAAAAAAATCATCTTCGCTATTTTCCTCTCTTCTAAAATCACCTTTGGCTCCTATGATGGAATTATATATATGTTTACATATATAAACGTTTAGTAACTTTTTGTGGTGTACTGATGAGAAAACCATTACCTTGCAGTTACTCGTTAGCATCACCAGGTGGCACTGGTGTGAAGTTCAATCCACTTGTAAAAATTTATTTGGGGTGGGAATGATCTCAGACTTTTCTTTTTTCTTTTCTTCCTCTTCCTCTTCCTCTTCCCCTCCTCCTCCTCCTCTTCTTGTTCTTCTTCCTTCTCCTTATCTCCTTCCCCTCCCCTCCCCTTTCCTTCTTTTTCTTCTTTTTTTTTTTTTTTCTGATACAGGGTGGCACTCTGTCACCCAGGCTGGAGTACAAGTGGCTGATCACAGCTCACTGTAACCTCAACCTAACCTCCCGACTCAAGTGGATCCTCCCACCTCAGCCTCCCCAGTAGCTGAGACTACAGGTGTGCACCACCATGCCCGCTGACTTTTTTTTTTTTTGTAAGTACTGGGTTTCATGATGTTGCCAAGGCTGGCTCCAACTTCTGAGCTCAAGTGATCTGCCCACCTTGGATTCGCAAAAGTGCGGGATTACAGGCAAAGCCACTGCAACTGGCCCTTTCCTTTGAGTAGATGGAAAAAAATGCATCCCCGCCAGGCACAAGTGCCTGGC